AGTGATCCTCCTGTTTCAGCCTCCCCAGCCCTGGGATTACAGGTGTGCACCACCACCCCAGTTTTAATGGCCGGCATAACACACCCAGGGTTTTGGGGCTGGCCACAGCATGCGGTATCTGAGATCAAACCCAGGTCCTTGTGCTTGCCAGGCAGGCACTTAGACCACAGAGCTATCTCCCCAGCCTCAACAATGTACTTTAAAATTATGTGCCTGTCACAAAAACTCATTGTGAAAACAGGTATGCAACTCCTTTCTGAACTATTAACTATCAGAATCTTTTAGAAATATATTCCTCTGCCATCTTTAAAGTGAAGCATTGATAATGAAACTTTCAAACTATGAAACAGAAGGAAATACTAGAAGGTCACTGGAGATAGTGCCCTTTGCCAGGCTGTAGGTGGGGCCGAGTGCTGACCCAGCACCCCCTGGCAGCAGGAATAAGGGAGGGGTGAATGGCAGAAGGTCGCCTTTTGGTTCATTTCATCTAATTTTTCCCCTGTGCATTTATTTATTTGCATAGTAGTTATTGATGTGTATTTTGTATGTGTGTTAAAATATTTTGTTATAAAGATAATTTATTCTAAAAATTTTGCCAAATACAAAAAGCCAAAACAAACTTAGCTACAAATCCACTACCCAGAAAAAAATCCTTAACATAATGGAATTAGGCTTCAAGTCTTTCTTTCTTTCTTTCTTTCTTTCTTTCTTTCTTTCTTTCTTTCTTTCTTTCTTTCTTTCTCTCTTTCTTTTTGTCTCACTGTACTTATAGATAAGTTTTAAGTTACTTGAGTCCATACTGAATTTTTTTTTTGGCAGAACCGGGGATTGAACTCAGCCCCTTGTGCTTGCCAGGGAAGTGCTTATTCCACTGAGCCATCTCCCCGGCCCCCATACTGAATTTTTGATGTTGCTAATAAAAAAACAAAAAATTACACATGCTAGATGGAAAAAGAGGCAAGAGTTTGATTATAATTAATAAAGTTTGTCTTTATCAAGAAAGAAAAATCCCATGACCCAAGTCATTCAATACTCATTTTAAAGATGCAACTTGAATTATTTCACAAAAAAATATGACCAGTTTGTCCCTACAAGATATGTAGGGAGAAAACAAAATTCAAAACAAAATCTCTAGCGCGTGGCCTTCCCAGGCTTGTCCCAAACCCACCCCAGGTATAGCCATGGGTGCTATTCAAGTGGTGAGACCAGGCAGTCACAGGCCATGTCCGCAGCTGCTTCCAGTGAGGAGGAAGTGGCCAGGCTGGCCCTGAGGTGGGCTGTGTGTTTTTTTTGTTTTGTTTTGTTTTGTTTTTTGCATAACTAGGGATTGAACTCAGACCCTTGCGCTTGCCAGGGAAGCGCTTATTCCACTGAGCCATCTCCCCAGCCCCGGCCATGTCTTAACACCAAGGTTTAAACTGGGTTCTTGAGCATTGCTGCCCCAAGCTCCCCAATCTTCATCCTTAATTCTGTTTTTTCCTCCTACTGGAGAAAAGTTTCAGGTCTTTATTTTTTCAAGCAGACTATGTAGACCATAAGTCCTTCTTACATTCATGGTTCTGTGAGCACACGTTGGCATCTCATAATGTATAGCTGACAACTCTTTTATACCTTGGGAATCCAAGGCTGTTTCTGTCGTAGACACTTGAGTGTGCTGCCAGGCTTCCAGGCGTCCAGAGCAGTGCTTGTCTTCTGTGCATAAGGCCTTGGACTCCGACCCCAGTGCTGCTGAACAAATGTGTTTATACAATTTATACCACAAACATGATTTTGGGCATATCATCATGGACATTTGCTACTAAAAGATCTAGTATACTCCTTAATGCAAGGAAAAACTTTTTAAAAAATTATTTGGTACAAGGTCTCACTGCGCAGCTCGGACTCATAGTGATCTCCTGTTTTCAGCCTTCCCAGCACTGGGATTACAGGCGTGTGCCACCACGCCTGTCTCAGTGGCTGGCTCAGCACACCTGGGAGCGGGACCAGTGAAAAAGTGATTTTTTAAAGTTTTTTTTGTTTTTCCTTTTAATCTTAAGTTTTTTTCCCCAGTAGTAAGGACCTAACCTAGAACTGTGTTCATGCTAGAAAATTGTGTGCCACTGAGTTACTTTCCCAGCTCCCTAAGAAGTGATTATTAACAAAAGTGTATTAATAGCTGGTGTTTGTTTTGTTTCTTGAGATAGCCTCACTGGCCTTAAACTCCAGGTGATCCTCCTGCCTCAGCCTCCCAAGTGCTGAAATTATAGTTGTGTGCCACCATGCCCAGCTGTGATCTATAACATTCTTATAATTACCCAAGTAGGTTAGAAGTAATACATGTGTTTTGTGCTCAGCATTCTTCTGTGGCCAGTGCCTGTCTTTAGCCATCTGCGCTTCATCATTTGGGTAACTTGAGGACAACACAAGTTAAAATCCAAGGTATATGAAGCTCAGATTAATATTTCAAAATAAAACGACTTATTAGTCCTTTATAGTTAAACACAAAGAACACTTGGTTTAGAAACAGCAGAGCAAACCCAAATGCTGCATACTCTTGACTATGTTTTAATTTAAGGACAGATGTGAAATGGCTGCATACTAAATTAGATTTTTTACATTAAATAAGAATGAACTGGAAATTGGTGATTTACTTGACAGTTATTGGACCTTGAAATCAAATAATTGTTCTAAAAGCATTAGGTTAACACTGATTTGAAATGTCTGTTTTGTAATTACCCGTGAGTGAAATGCATGTTTAGTTCGTTCTGCTTTTGGTTTACATTAGCATTGTTTTATTATAAAGTAAAGAACACTGTGCGCTAAATTCTTGGAAGACTGACTTCCTTTTGTCCCAAAAGATTTGTTAGGCTGATATTAAAAAAAAAAAAAAAATCCTGGAACTGTGATTGAACTCAGGCCCTTGTGCTTGCCAGGGAAGTGCTTATTCCACAGAGCCATCTCCCCAGCTGTAATCCTGTTCATTTCATTTCTAATTCATTGCCTTTTTTTTTTTTTTTTTTTTTTTTTTTCAGAACTGTGGATTGAATTTAGGCCATTGCACTTGTTAGGAAAGCACTTATTCTACTGAGCCATCTCCCCTGCCCCTCATTGCCTTTTCTTACTGTCTTAGTTACTTTTTACTCATTGCTGGGACAAATACCTGACACTCAAAATGAAGGAACGAAAGGTTTATTTAGCTCACAGTTACTGGAGGGATCAGTCCATATTCCCCCTGGCTCCAAGGCAAACAACAGCAGTTCATGTGGCAGAAAACAACGAAGAGCAGAGGAGGAGGAGCAGCAGCTGTGGTATCCCTCAAGCCGTTCTCTTCCTTCTGCGCTGACTGCAAAGAGGAAGTCCGGAAATCGTAGCTCCTCCAAAGTAGCACGGCTGCCAAGATCAAGCTCCACTAAAGACTGAGGCTTCTCCACCGAAGTGCAGCGGGCTGGCAGGATGCCTTTCTCAATTCCTGGTGGCTGCCCACCTGCAGGGCTAGGCCACCATGCTGAGAACTGCCCAAGCTGATTCAGCCAAGTTGACACAATGTATCAACTAACAGTTACTATTGTTCTTTCTTTTTCTTCCTCTTTCTTTCTTTTTGGCGGAACCAGGGATTGAACTCAGGCCCTTGCACTTGCCAGGCAAGTGCTTATTCTACTGAGCTATCTCCCAGACCCCTATTCTTTCTAATTAAGCAAATCTGAATGAGGATGTTGTGAATTTGTGAAAAATCAGGAAAGAAGGGCCAGCCAAATAGCTCAGAGGATTAAAGCACCTGCAAGCAGGCAGAGGGGCCATGGGTTCAATCCCCAGGCCTGCTGTGCTGGCCCTGCCCCTGGGGCACACTGAGATGGCAACTGAGACTGGGTGTGGTGGTGCGTGCCTGTAATTCCAGCACTTGGGAGGCTGTAAACAGGAGAATCACTACAAGTCCAATCTAGTAGTGAGACCTTGATCGCCTTGTACACTCTTCCCTAAAATGCAGGAAAAAAAAATCAGGAAGTAGTCAACCTGAAGGCTGCCGAACCAGCAGAGACTTCCTAAGTGAAGGCTAAGAGTTTCTATGGTACTCAACCTCTTTTAAGACAGAACCAGTGCATTTAGTGGCTGTATCATGGTGGATTTGTGGCTTCCTGGGGCAGAATGACTTTGGTGTAAGCAAGTCAGTGCATTCCTCATTCTCTGGCAGGCTGGTCGTGGCTGAGAGAACCTGGCTTATCCTGTCAGGTGCATGCATCTTGTTCTAT